ACTCTCAACCCCCCCACCCACTCTCAACCCCCACCCACTCTCAACCCCCACCCACTCGCAACGCCCCCCAGCCACTCTCAACCCCACCCACGCTCAACCCCCACCCACTCTCAACCCCCCCACCCACTCTCAACCTCCCCCCCCACTCTCAACCCCCCCCCACTCTCAACCCCCACCCACTCTCAACCCCACACCCACTCGCAATCCCCCACGCACACATTCCCCGTGGATGCACTCCCTCCATCCTTTTTAAATCCTTTATATTAAGTTCGCTTGCTTGCGTGCGCGCTTACGACCGTGCAAATTTTTCGGTCGTTTTTTAACCCACTTCCCGTGATCCAATCGAGCTGACATTTTCCACACAGACTCGTTGCGCGTGACAATTAATTTTCGTGAAAAAAATTCCAAATTTTTACACATTTTAGGAAAACAAAAATTATATTTAGTTACCAATTGCTTAATGGTGGCAGGCAATCATCTGACCCATAGGTGGCAGCCATCTCAAGCCAGAGGACGAGAGGACTCTAGCCGTCACGCATATAAAGGATTTATAGTGAAAAACTTTGTTTTTACGGGTTATTTTTTTCTGCCTCCAAACCACCCACACCACCTCCGAGCCACCCACTCCTCCGACCCACCCACGCACCTCCAAGCCACCCAGGATCTGGTGGTTTTCCCAGCATGTTTTCATCGAGACTGCGGCATCGGGACTCACGCGCCGGATGACTCATTGCCCCGAGGCGCGAGATGCCAGCGAGAGATGATCGCTCGCTCGCTCGCTCGTCCTCAGCAATTGGAAGCGGTGTTCAAGTCGGATTTCAAGGCGTCCTCTACACTCGCCACCCTCTTGAGCATTTCCGGCGGACAATGGGGAAATCTGCACCGTAGGCAATCCCGTGCACTTCGTTGCTTGTTCACAATCTTCTTAGTTCTTTCGGTAAAGTCACGTAGAAGGGAAGTATGCTAAATTCCTCTTCACATGCACATTCTTTTGTTAAGGCGCTCTTTCCTCCACCTCCAACGCAGCTTATATATAAGCTCCTAGCTTGGCATTGTCTCATTCTTCACCTGAAGACGGCTGCTTGCGTTGTAGCCGAAACGTCGTGAGAATTATTTTATTTTATTATGTTTTATTTTTATTATTTTATTACTTCCCTTCTACGTGACTTTACCGAAAGAACTAAGAAGATGAATCCCTGCAGTCACGAAAGCTTTAAATCGAAATTGTTCACAATCGTCCGGGTGATTTCGGTGCGCATTTGGCGCAAGTGGAGATTCCCCCTCCCCCGCCCCAATTGTGAAACAATAACATCAATTGAAAGCACTTGTTGCATCTTGACGTAAAGCTTTTGTGACTGCAGGAATTCATATGCTTTGGGTCTTCCGGTAAAGTCACGTAGATAGAAAAATAATTGTAAAAAAATCACGACGTTTCGATCGCAAAATTATCAGGTGAAAAAAATAATTTAAATGTTTTTCACCTGATGATGATTGCTTGTGTTGCGATCGAAACGTCGTGAAATTAAAAAAAAAAATATTTTTCTATCTACGTGGCTTTACCGAAAGACCCAAAGAACACCTATTGCATGTTTGCGCCAAATGCTGCGATGTTCAACGTCCTCTGCCGATACGTGAAAAGTTAATAACGACAGCAGCTATATCCAACCATGCACAAATGCCCAGTAAACATGGAACGTTGTACCAACGTTGGCCTAACGGTACCAACCACATACCAAAGTTGGCTTGTCCACTGGCTAAGTGCATGCACGCACTGCTGTGCACGTATACAACACAAGCCAACCGAAGGACTTTGCATGAGGTTCAAATAATACTATAATCGGCAGGCTCTGTTTCACAGCGCAGAACCTCACGTGTTTCCTGAGCCCGTGATTTCCTGCCAGTTGTGTTTGTGGCGACTGCTGGCAAAATGCCACGTGCGTTCCCGGGCAATGAGATCACTGGACTTGCGCTCTAGGTGTTGTTACACACACGGGTTTCCCGACCGTGTCGTATGTGTGTGTGTGTGCAAGACTGTGGCGAAACTCGAGTACTTTCCAGGCTCCGTTGACATCGTTATCAGTCACATTCCCAGCCCCCCCCCCACCCACCACGTGCTCGACCCCACGGCTGCGTTGCAATAATAAAGCGTGTGGGACCGATGCGCGCTTGCTTGCCCGAAACCTTAGTCGGGTTTTTACAAAAAAATCCTCGGTGGGGTGATCGGCAGTCACGCGCTAATAACGTCTGGCCTTTTTTTGTTGTTGTACGGAACTGCACAGTAAGTGAACTCTTTTGTGGAAATGATGACATTTCAAAATGCTAACCGACAACATTCACGCCGTTCCTCCTTCCGCTTGCATCGCATTGTGTTTCTGCTGTAAATGTCGATGTAACTCGCGATGATTTTGTTTTACGTTATCGCGACAGCTGTGGCAGGATGCCTATCAAAGTGACGATTAAACATTCCAATGGAATTTATTCCGTCAAATACAGAGAGGAGTCAGGCCTCCTTAGAAGCACAAGCAGTCCCAGTTATGAAGCCCAACTGCCCTTGATATTTTGTTCTATTAACCTGTCTATGATTAAACTGAATTTGACTTTTTTTAAATCTTCATTACGCAAACCCGGTGTACAGTTGTGTCTTTGTCTTACTGCTGGTTGGTCAACATTTTGCTCAATTTATTGATGGTCACTTACGCCAAGATGCCCACAATAACATTCTTCAAGAACTGGTGGTTTTGCATCATGTATAACAAGGCTGAGAGGTTCTAGATTTGCAGCTTTCGTGACTGCAAGGATTCATATTCTTAGGTTTTTTCGGTAAAGTCACGTAGGTAAAAAATTAAAATTAATAAAAGTAAAATAAAATAAAAATCACGACGTATACTTTTATTAATTTTAATTTTTTACCTACGTGACTTTACCGAAAAAAACCTAATAATATGAATCCTTGCAGTCACGAAAGCTTCAAATCCAGAGCAAATTCTTATATTTTGATACTGGCAAGAAAGGTACCATGATGGAGCTCTCCACGCTTCTTTGCGGTATTTTCAGCCAGTTACATTTTCTTTGTCCCTGTCCATAATGATGATCCATGTCAGAGCTGGCAGTATGGAGTGATTAAAAATGTTCTTCTGCAGACAAAAGTGTGGCTTCTTTTCATTGACATGTTCAACATTCTAAAGCGACTTAATTTTACGTCGAGTTCTCTTTGCTTTCTCATTTTGATTTCAATCCACCTTCAATAGCTGCCCCGGATACACATTATGATTTGCAATGGGTCCTGCCAAAGTTCGTTATTTTGTTTAGCAAACTTGTTGTGCATTACTTTTGTTTTGCTCACATTTATATTAAGTTCTACATCGCAGCCTTCTTTGTCAAGTCCGACAATAATTTCTATTAACTCATTCTCACTCCGTCTAAAAAACTGCCATCAGCATATCCGGGATTGTGTATTTATTTCTAATTTCAAGATATGTTCTGCTGTAAACAGCCTTGGTAGGGGTGCATCTCCTTACCTGATGCTCTGTGATTTGTATGTTACCTGTTTTCGTGCCATATGAAGGTCAATAAGATAACCTAAACTATATCACTGTATTGTTATAATTCATTTTTGCATTAAAATTTAAAAAGGTCCGCTTCAAACCGTAACAATTCTACGAAGCCATTCTTTTAACATTTTGGTGCTTTTCCCCTCATATCATTGCCTCATTGGCCATAACTTTGCGTATGCTCCCTCTGGTCTTAAAACTTGTCCCCGAGTTATCATGTGAAATATTACACTTGTCAATGCTACCTCAAGCGAGGTGAATATGAAATGTAAAATTTAACATGTTTAAAGCCCCCTTTCAACCTACTGCTGGATAACAAAAGTCTTGCTTGCTTTCAGCCGGTTTTCCAGAAGAGTTTTTGACAGGAACATTGGAGGCTTGCACGGGGTTTGCATTTTCGTGGACTCAAGAAGCCATATTCAGCACCGGGCTGCTGTGGAATGATCAAACGATGTCTCGCATGGATGAGGTGACTACAGAGAAGCAATGGAACACGCCGAGAGCAGCGTTAACATCATCAGCCATGATCAATCACTGCAATGATGAAGGCCTCCTCAAGCCGTTACCATATCCTCATAGTCCACTGGTTTATTACAATAAGTCTGCAAACATTGAAAACTGTAACCAGGGGGAACGCTACTAAAAAAATAATTTAGCTAAAATGTAAAACCTTCCAAGTGTTCCGAAATGCCATTTTTTTAAAGTTCTAAACTCCAGCGCAGTGCAACCTCAAGGGGTAAAGACAATGCAAGGAGAACGTGGCCACTCGAGTGGTCACGAGCGCGTTGAGAGCAGGTTGACGTGTCGCTAGAATCCCGGAGTTGCTGCTTTGTGTGCGTGACAAAGGCGGCCGAAATCTGTTACGGAGTGAACCAAACTCTGCTGAAATTAGGCACTGCTCAGACAGCCGTGCGCACAATGGGATGTGTAAAAAAAAACAACTGGCATTATTGCCTGTGACCTATATACTCCCACGGATGAAGGCTTGCACATTTTAATGTCACGACCAAACCAAAGGAGTTTTTGCAAAGTGTTTAATTAGAATGCAAAATGGAACGCATCTTGAACAATTGGCCCTCATGACATATTCCTGCAGGATGACAACTTAATTCCGCATCCGATGATGTTCTTGACTTGACAACTAACGCTGGTAAATCGTACCATTTTATTACGACGGAAGATTATTAAACACATCAGGACCGGGCATGGCCGATGCGGTCACCCCGATGCACGAATGACGCATCGAAGATTCGACGGCCACGAATTCCAAAGATCCACCCGCATCGTAAACAGCTGCTGTCTTCACGCCTTTAAAGGAGGGACGGCAAATTGAGCGGCCAACAAATAAAAAAACATTACATCTTTAATCTGCTGCGATGAATCCATATGAAAGAAGATTAAGCACGCGTTGATTCGTTGCGCATTTTTATATCAGCGTTTCAATACAAAAAAATGGACTCCACAAAGGTTGTTCAAAACTGCTTCAATTTTTATTGAGAGTTGAGTTCACTGCAACTGCCATGTCTGATATGAAGAGAGATTGTGAGAAAACAAATTCATGGGGGTCCAAGCACAGTGCAACCTGGTTGTTGAATGCGGACTGACATGGGCCCGTTAACAGGACTGGCATGTGTACATTGCTCACACTCTCAGCAGCAGCAGCAGGAGACTTGGGAATGATAGATAAATAAAAAATGATTATTAGAGGTAAATCAACAGCAAGAAAGAATTAAACTAAAAACATCACGGATCCGTAAAAAAGCCGACAAGTGAAGTCGCACCTGGGCAATAAGCAATGAGTGATGAGAGAACCACCGACCCTTCTTGCACACACAGAGCCAAAGTAACAAAACAAAACAGCCCAGACAACTTCACCGTCAAAATAACGAACTACAAGAATATGGATTAGCTATGCAGAAAAAGAGGCAATTTTTTTTTCAAAATAAAAACACGTTTTTTTAAAATAAACCACCCTTTTGTTAATTCCAACAAGTTTTGTGTTGAAATAAATGTCTACGACTACCAGTAGTTATGTTTGATAAAAATTGTCAATTTACTTGAAAAGAAAAAAACCATAAAAGTGTGGAGGAAATGAAACATTGTCGGGTCCATTTCCACAATTCCACGTTCATGACGTCCGGAAGTGAAAAAGCAAAAACTCCACTGACCTCTTCACTCCTGCCCCACGTGTCATTGAGATTTTTTTTGTCCTGCGTTGCCATAAATTAAAACCACATTGTCCCCCCCCCCCCCCTTATCAGCTGTCGAAACAAATCTGTATATTAAAAAGACTACATTGTATATACCGATATAACCAGGTGTATTACCCACGACAACTGCATTTAAGATCTATTCAACCAGATAATAGTTTTTGTTTTTATCGCGACAGCAATTAACACCGCACAAATCTGAAGAGGTAGATCCAGCATGAAGATGAGCTCTTGTGTAAAGGGGGGACCGTGGGAAAAGTTTCCCCATATTTGGATGCACCTTTTAGATCCCCTCTTCGGAATTCTCTACCGCCACGCGGCGCCTCGTGCGCCGGGAGAAGGGACAAGCGGCCGCTGTGCCACGCGCAGAGGAAGGAGACGGCCGCTCCACATTCCGCACGCGGAGACGACGCACATGGATTGGGCTCTGTGTGTGCAACCAAGGGGGTGTTTGGGGTGGGGGCGCGCGAGGAATTTTTCTGTTTTATGCACACCGTTATTGTTTTCAAGGGAATAACCCTTTTTTTCTCAACGTTCTGCGATCCCATAAAATCGAATTAAGATCGGGCGAATGCACCGCCAATAATTGACGCTTCCAATCCGTCCGGTGCTGTTGTCACCGCCACCGCCGTTCAGCCTTTTCGATGCCTCGACGATTTCGTCCACACCGTTGGTGAACGCAACGCTGCGTTTTAGGTGTTGGGCACTTGAGCGAAGGCAGTGATTCGAAGTCGGTTCAGTTGCAACCGAAACGTGCAAAACGCTTTCGTAGGGCAGGTAATTGTGTGAGCACGATTTCATGTTCAAGTTTGTGTTTCTACACCGTCGTTCACATGCGGACCGTTCAAGTTTCACCTACTCGTTTTTTCTCCGAACACCGAGAAACTCGTGTCGAGTCTAAGAATAACGCGGCACTGTTGTGTATCGTCACGTGATATGACGTCACCTCCTTGGAAGCAAAATTAAACAACCCTGATATACTTGTACTGCCTGCTGGATAAACGTATGGCGACAACAAGGAGCATAAGTCTCGAGTGACGGAGAGAGAACAGCTTCCAAAGGAGGCGGAAATCGGGTTACAATCGATGCGCATTTATAGCCACCCTAACCGACCTGCTCCTGTGCTTTTCACAAACGGAGAACTTTCGCAGTGGCCGACGCCGCGAAACGGTGTCGCGATTGTGCGGAACATTTACATCGAGATCTGAGGGGCGGGTGTAGAGCAACAGATCGCGCCTGGAAACTGGGCGCAGGAGTCAAGTGCGGGGCTATCTGCTGCCCAAGGAATGCGCAACGTGGCCACCGAGAAGGCAGGATGAGCTCCCGGCCAGATCTGTCGTTACGCGCACCTTGGGCGCGGAAGGTTTCACGCTGTCCCACCACCAAGGCCCTAATGTGTCCCCCCTGTCATGTTGTGTGGCTGGAGGCCCCCTCCCACTCCCCCCCCCCACTCCCCCCCCCCCAAGGCACGTGCTGGCATTAAGTCCTGCAGGGACGTATGCGATGCAATCAGGCAAAGGTGTGCACGTATATGCTGCTGGCATAGACACATGTAAAGAAGTACATTCCAACGGATAGTCATAAACTACCTCGAGAAACAAATCCATATGCATATTGGACGAGAAAAAACATGTAGGTTAACCTTGAACGATCCTCACATATGCCTTGAAAACCAAACGGAGGCTAAATAGATGGCAATAATATAGCAAAGTTAATTGCTACTTTTTTTGTCTATCACACGTCAAGAGGTTTTTGCTGCCCTGGGCGAGAACTGTGCAATCTGTGTGTTCTACTGCAGATTTGTATTGCTGTTGTGTGGTCTTAATGGGGGTACATTCAGTATCTGCCGTGGCAGTTTGATCAGAGATAAACCAGATTTTCCTTGAGATAGTGGCGGTGGTGAGATGTGGGGTTGGTGGACCAGGCAGATATGGACGCCGTGGTGGCGATATGTTTACTACCTTTTTCTCCGGGTCTTCCCTCCACATTTATAAACGTGAATTTAGAGTATTTGGCTGCTATACATTTCCACGTGATGAGCCAACTGAGTTCAGCTATCATTTGTGGATGGGTCGCGTCTGACAAAATAACAAAATATATAGCTCAGTGGGCCTTACTTGGTAAAATAAAAAATTAGTTGAATTGTTTGAAAAGATATGCAGCAATAACAGCGACTGTGCGATATTCTGTGGCAGGGCAAGGCTGAGGCAGGAACATTCGAACTGGACACGTCCAATTGTGGATCCTAAAATACGGACCCACTAATTTTTTTGGAGGGGAGCCGAATTGTTTTACTGAAATTAATTTACCAAAGGCTGTTCCAGCGACGGATTGATTGCATTTTTTTTGTTATGGTTACCAATCCACCAGAACAGTGAAATCAAGATGCAAATTTTCACCATCATTATCCATCAAATGTGCATAAAATTCCACCTGCAGATTGGTCCAAGCACATCCAGATTTCCCAGCATGCATAGCAGTTGCACAGCGGCAGGATGGCGCTGGGCAGGACGCGCTGTGCAGCTCTTATCATCGCTGGAATATCAAACATCTTCACTCCCACCAATCTGTGTTCCCTTAAAGGTGATCTGTAAAAAAACGGTATCCCCATAGCATGCTGGGGCTCATCACAAATCATAGTTCATCCGCTCGTGTCGAAGCGACGCGACTACATTAGCACAAAACCATGATTCACCATTACAACACATTTTCTCTCCACGTCAGATGAGACAGTTGGTTTTCTGCTGCAGTTTATACCTGAGGTCATGCAGCAATGTATTTTGCTTAAAGAGAAAACATGCATGTAGAAAATCCACAAATCCTGATTACATTGTGAAATTGATTCAGATACACATCTGTAAAAGCAGCACGACAATTAGCCTGTTAAGGTGAGAGTATTTCTGACAGCTTTAAGGGAACACAGGCACCGTAACATCAGAGATTGGGAAATATTAGTTTCTCAGATCAGGGTGGCATCTTGCACAAAGGAAAGGATGTCCCTGTCGATGACCATCAATTCCGAAATGTAAACACTGCGATCACAATGGAACATTTACGCGTGACAGGGTGCCACCCTGTAAAAGCGAGAGATGTAACTGGACGATCCCCATACACAATCGCAGAAATAAATCGGGTCTCCGAGTTGCACGCAGGGAGGATTTAGTCTGCAGAGTAAGCGCAGCTCGTGCAGAAGAAGAAGAAAAAGAAAACTCCTCGAGATACGTCTGGGTTTCGCGCTCTTACATCTCCTTCATTAGCGGAGCACGAAGCCTTAAAAACTAAACAAACGCACGCACGCAAGCCAGCAACGCAGGCTCCCGGCGCTGAGAAGACCTCCGAACTGACTGCAGGAGAAACAGGCGAACAAACGGAAGATCCTGGTGTCCTACTCATCGGCCTAGCAGCAGTGTCCGACGTTCGTATTCATAGCCGCCCGATACACACATCAAACAACTTCTTACATTGTGATACCTTTTTCTTTTTTGCTTTTGTCACCGCTGTTGTAAAAAGGTCATATCTTTACTACGTTTTGACATAACTGGCATTGCTTTTTGGATGGCGTGTACATAGGCATGGCGTGTAGTCTTCATTATCGTCGTTGCGAAAACGTGTGAAGCCCAAAGGGGGGTGTGTGGTGGTGGTGGTGTCGTTACCTCAGTAGAAATGAGGCTCGACATTTCTGAAGCGTCACTTAAACGTTTTTCTTTTTTATCACAAACGCCCAGCTGTCGGTTCGGGAGTGGGAAAATGTACATCTCGGCAAAAAAACCAAACGGTAGTTTATCTCCCAAACCGACGGCCCCACAACCACATTTTACCCTTTTTTTTATTAAAAAAATAAAATGCTCAAGGCTTTCAATTTATAAAGCATACAAAACCATCCCAAAGGAACAAAAGGAACTCTGAGGTACTTAATGCCTGAGGTAGTTCTGTTAAAAAAAAGCACATGTGTCCGTGCCTTGGCCAGCACATTCATTGCTCCTCAGTTTGGGCTCACTTGTAGTGTCCCACTGCGTCTTATAAAAATAGTAAAGACCTAATAAAATGATTCCCATTGCCTAAGCAAGGACTTATGCCGTTGGTTTTAAATAGCCGGTTGTAAACACTAAGCAATGCCTGTTCAAAAAAAAAAGCCAAATTTTTTTAACAAAAAAATTTCTAAATGGGAGGGGGTGGGGGGAAGAGAAAAACAATACTTTGGTTACAGGGAAAGGGGAGGAAACAGGACCAGGCAAGAAATACAATCCTCCATAAAAGGCAGGTGATAAAACATAGTCCACATTTCATCGTCGTTGGTTTAAGACAATTGGTGGGAAGCAATTTTTTTCTTCTAAAATTGACGTTACAATACAAAACAACTGAAAACTTGATACGGATTTCTGCCTTTAACACTGGTGCTTAGCAGTTCCTCTCCCTGCTTGGGTGCCTAGCCCTCTCCCCATCCCTGTGGTGTCTGCTGGTGGACTGCCCAGGAGGTCGGGCGTGGTGAGGTGGGTGGGGTGTGGTGGGGCTACTTCTGCCGGGACTGTCCCGGAAGGTCGGCCGGAGGTGGCTGCCGCTGCTGCTGCTGCCGATACTGCTGCAGGATCTCACGGATCTTCCTCTGCGCCGTCTTGGGGGAGAAACGACAGCGGGTCGGGGAATGGAAGAACTTTGGTTAGAACAAGGGTGGACGGAAGCTGTGCGGCGATGTGGGTGCACGAAGCAAACGCTTGGGGAATGGTCATGGAGGAATGAAATCGCGTGCCTGGAAGCACACAGGCTGTGTGGCAGTTGCTACTGGTAAGGTAATATAAAGGGGGAAATGAAGCATGTGGATCGAATTTGTGTGGAATTACATGGAAGACATGGGCATAAATGTACAGCGCGGGTAGAAGCTCATTAACGCTTTTGGCAGAATCAACCTCGAAGCGGATTCAATTATGTAAAACCTCTCAAGGCAGACAAATTGGGGGAAAAAAGCTCTTCTGGTTATGTGGGATGTCTGACATACTGCAAGTAATTAAAGAATTAATTACTATAAAAGTTAAATTACATTCACGTGTAATTACCGTCTAACATTTAATCAACACGTAAAAATGTATCAAATATTTACAATTTAATAACGCTTAGAAACGGGTCCCTGCACAGTTTAACCCCCGAGTCACTTGCCATCGCTGCGTAAGAAAGCGGTGAGACGCCGTGGTCAGTAGATGTGGAAGTCTGAAGAGGTTTTCTGCCGGCCTTGAAGAACTTGACTTCGCTTGTTTTGTTAAATGTGTAAGAACAATGCAGCCCTGGCGAGAGCAAGCGGAGGACCCAGGCATCGTAGGCCACGGGGTCGCCGAATTCCATGAAACAGGTAAGTCTACGGGTTGTAGAAATGCTGCAGTGTTGCGATTTGTCCACATGAATCGTGTTGCAACCAAATTAGAAAATACATTGAGATCCTTGGCCAATTCCTTAGTGATTATTTTACATGTGGGTGGGGGGTGGGGGGGGAATTGTAGTACCTGGATAACAACTCATTTAATCGAGTAACAAGGCTGCGAGATCTATAACATGGTCCCGCAATCTCTCTTGCCATACTGCAGTCATCATCTGGTCACCTCAATGTCACCTCGTGGTCACCTCTCAGCCACTTTCATAGCCACCTTCACAGCCACCTCACAGCCACCTTCATAGCCGTGCAGGGGTGGTGGGTGGCCCCAACACACGACATCTTGGCGATCCACCAATGCAACCTCCAGTGCCGACGGATAAGGGGCGTGCCCCAGCGCGCCAGACTAAGTGCGGCTGAAAAGGTGAGCACCACACACAGCGGCAGCTGTACCTGACTGGCGAAGAAATGCCCGATGATTTTGACGACAACTTGGTCGTCATCGTCAGGCGCCTGGTCCCGCGGCACGACCACCTCGGCACTCGTCAGGTTCTGCAGCTCGTTGACCTGGACGAGACGAGATGGGACGGGACGGGGGGTTAGGGGTGCAGGGGGATGACCGATACCGTTTTCAAACTGATACTCTTAGTTCTTTCAGTAAAGTCACGTAGGTAAAAAATGAAATTAAAATTTATAAAAAATAAAATAAAAATCACGACGTTTCGGAGGCAACACAAGTCTCCGTCATCACAGTCCCACCTGATGACGGAGACTTGTGTTGCCTCCGAGACTTGGGTTGCCTCCGAAACGTCGTGATTTTAATTTTATTTTTATTAATTTTAATTTTATTTTTTACCTACGTGACTTTATCGAAAGAACTAAGAGTATGAATCCTTGCAGTCACGAAAGCATCAAATCTGGAATTTCACACTGATCTCTATTCTTGCGCATGTATGTTGAATTTAATTCGCACCGTACGTAGCCAACCGTGCTAATCAACGGTGTGGGGAAAGACAACAAACTGGTGAGTTGAGTGCTTTGTCACAAGCACCGCCTGGCTGGATGACATAAAGTCGGCTCATGTGCTGTGTATATGTGCCAGAGGTGCCATCATAGTGTTAGTTTATTAGAGGGCATTACATTCAGTTGTTTTTCTGGCCACGGCTAATGATGGCAATATGGTTCAGGAGCTAAACGTCGAGTTCTGTTGCTGGCCAAGTCAAGAGGGCTTCAGGAGAGAGAGTTGCTGCAGTCTTTGCTGTTCCTCCTCTGTTGAAGGAGCTGCAGTGGTTTACCGCATGGTCCGTAGTTTAGGTTGTATGGCCACAATTGCACTTCTGTGACGTGCCTTTAAATTTCCCATTCACGAAGGAGCTGTGCGCATCAGCGTGTTGATGTTCTGATGCAGATGATGATCACACCGGTTTATTTTCACCGATATCAGATGAGTCCAATGGGCAGCGAAAGTGGTATCCAAAAACTGGGGACATTCTAAATAAAAATGACCTTGTACACGCAAAGTGATTATGACCGCAATTCCATATGTCAACTGGCCCAAACACTGCGCTTTGAAATAAATTGTATTTAAATTTTGGTGTGGAGGCAGCCTTATCAGTTGGTGTGGTGGGCTTGCCATGAGGACAGTTTGAATGGAACAAATGACGATTCAATTCCTAGAGCCTTCTGAAAAAGTTTCAGAGCAAATTTCCCCAAGGACAGTCACCTACAAATGTGTACGAAAGAACATTTACAACGAGAGCTCAATATTCCAAATCAGTCTCCAAGTAAATTGTAAAAATTAATCTTTTCTCCCATTACGAGTTGACTGAAAGTTGCAGGGTGGGTGACCCGTTGACCGCTGAATCTTGGAAAGCGCAAGCGGTTTGCGCAAATTTGATGTAGAGAGTCGTAGCGCTGCTGTTTTTAAAGACATTGTATTCGCCGCAGAGAACTGCAGCGACACGACCACTCTATTACAGCTGGTGACAAACCGTGCCACACGCCCTCCCGCATGGCCTTGTGGGAGTCTCGGTAGCGATGGAGTATTTTTTTCCCCTTTGCGGTTCCCTTTTGATGATGTTCACGTACATCGTCGGAGCGGAATGGGAAGAAAAACCGACAACGTACAGGCAACTGTGCCGAGGCAACACTTATACACACATTTCCATCCAAAGAGATATCAATTGACTCTCATGTGCGTATTAAGATAATTAACAAACGAATTAGTAGACAAATGCAAAACACACAAAGACAAAATGCCTCAAAACAGTTAACACTATTGTATCATGTGTTCGTACGGACATCAAAGGTTAATAGAATAACGCCTGGCTTGTTTGCAGTGAGAAAAGGTTGCAAGGACGAAAAGATGCAGGACACACTACAGAACCATGATGAACCGGAACAACGCGATAAAAAAAAAAACAGTGCATCACAACCTTAACAATGTTATTATAATTTTGACTTAAAACTTTCGTGACTGCAGAGATTAATATTCTATGATTATTTCGGTAAAGTCACGTAGATAGAAAAAATAACAATACAGTAATACAAATTAAAATAGAGGGAATAAAAAATAATACAAGTATTAACAATAAAATAATACAATTTTAAATAAAGTGAATAAAAATAATACAAATATTAACAATAAAATAATAAAAATTAAAATAAAGTTAATAAAAATAATACACATATTAACAATAACATAATAAAAATTTAAATAAAGCGAAAAAAGTAATAAAAATATTAACATTAATATTAAAAAGTGAATAAAAATGATAGAAAAAATTTGGATTCACTTTATTTTCATTTTTATTATTTTATTGTTATAATTTTTTTATCTACGTGACTTTATCGAAAGAACCATTGAATATGAAAATGTTATTATAGCATGCAAAAGTGCTTGTGAGAACAATCCTGAAATAACAGAGCATTACGACTACAAGAATGTGTTCCACGTGTTAAGTGGAAGTGCTTGTCTTCTCAACATCACATTGTATTATCTTTTCATAAAAGCAGCCAAAGTGATGAAATTCTGAGAGAAAAAAATCCACACGTGGCTAGTGAACCTCAGCCACACTACAGGACTGGTTTTTATATATAGTTATTAGATACTGGCGTACATTTGATGTGTGTGCCTATGTGTTTGTCTCTCTCTGCTTGTGTGTCCTGTCCGTGTATCTTCGGTTCTGTGTTTAATCTTTCTCTTACTGGTAGGAACCTCCTGGTTGCACCAGCCCACGGGGGATTATTGTGTCCGTCCGTCATGCAGGGAGGGGCTGGGTGGGGAGGGAGGGGCTGGGTGGGGAGGGGATGGTGGGGCTGGGTCGGGGAGGGGAGGGTGGGGAGGGGCTGGGTGGGGAGGGTGGGGAGGGGCTGGGTGGGAAGGGTGGAGAGGGGCTGGGTGGGGAGGGTGGGGAGGGGCTGGGTGGGGAGGGGTTGGTCACCCCGTGGTGCCCTTATAACACTCAACGTTGAACCTACTCACGCCGGCTTGTGCCCGCCCTCACAGTCGACCATATTTGCGGAATACACCACGCCGCCGTTGACCCTGGCCATTGACCGAGCAACCCAATGTTCCTACGAGCTCCCTCCGCAGGAATGTGTTAAATTTAGCAATCTTTGGAAGAACGTAATCAACCAGGTAGGGTGTTGACTGTTATGTTAGCCGACTCTCTGTGTTGTATTGCATTATATTTCTAAGTTAACTAGATTTTGTTTTCTCTTTCGTTTGTACCTGATGATGATTGCTTGTGTTGCAATCGAAACGTCGTATGCTAGTATTTAATTTATTATTTTCTCTTTCTATGTGACTTTACCGAAAGAACCAAAGAGTAATTCCTGCAGTCACGAAAGCGCTAAATCAAGTATGAATATATGCATTAGACGTATAAGTTTTAGTTTTTTTGTGAATATTTATTGGTACTTTCTTTCTGTTTTCAGAATTAACTCCATTTTCTGATATGGTGACAAGACAAGTCCACCCATTCACCCAACTTCACACCAATTTGATTTTTATCTCTGGAGTTTTTTTAAAAGTAAAGTCTACACTAGCAAACCAAGGGATCATTAAGTACTTAAACATAATATTGTTGATGCTGTGTCATCATCCATCTCTACAGCTGTGTTGGAAAATGTTTTCTCGGAGGCTGAATGCTGAATTATATTGATTAGATATTCGAGAAAATCGAATCAATGCCATAACAAAAACTTATAAGTCTATCACATGTATTCATATACATGTTACGTCAATATCTCGAAGAACAATAAAACCATTCAACGTTTTTTTTTGGTCTACAGTAAAACCTTGCATTGGGAACATAATTCGTTCCGGAAACGTGTTTGTAATCCAAAGCACTCGTATATCAGTTGTGATCACGTGACACTCGGCAGACAAAGCGTACACACGTGCTACTCGTATTGCAAGACCTCGCTCGTTCATCAAATTCATATTTATTTTTAAAAAATTGCTCGTCTTGCAAAACACTCGCAATCCAAGGTTTTACTGTATTCATTTTTGGACACCCTGTATCTATTCATGTGCGAGTGCGTCAGCATGACCGGTGCGGCCTGTTCAGCGGCGTTGCAATCGTACCGTTCGCCCTCCCTTGCCGATGACCCTGCCGGCAGCGGCCGATGGGACCTTGATGTGTGCCTCCAGCTTCACTTCTTCCTTGGGGTTGTAGAAATTCTCTTCTTTTAATTTCCCATAAATTCTGCCCTGGGCCTGGAGACGCACACAGCCAACAACGAGCGCACGGGTGACACGCCGTACAGGATGCCGCGAAGCTTGCCATATCCTTCGTCACATTTTTGCACAGCGATGCGGAGATTGGAGTTCGACTGTTACCCAGAGATCAGTGGTGTAATTAGCACAAACCACCGTTTTGAACGTTGGGTGGGTGTTGGCTTTAGAGCGGTGGATCAAAATGCGATTAACTCTGATCCTGAACCCCACAATCAGTGCCCACACAATGTCCTCCCCTCACCTAATGACACGGTAACAATTACAAGCAATAGCCTTGTGTATAATTATAATACATGGAGCAGGTGATTGCTATTGCAACGTACCATGAATGTAATTATCTCTCGAGTTCTTGGTGTTATGGTGAAAAACGCACATTAAATATGAAAAAAACTTTATTATATTTAGTAAACAATTAACTTTTTTTGTTATCATTTCAATGCCGAAGTAATGGGCATGTCCACCAGGGGTTACTCTCACCTTGAACTGTGCTTCAGCAGGGCCAGTAATGGTGACCATTCTCTCCTTGGCGTCAGGCGTTTCAGGAGGCGCAATCTGCGAGAAGACGGGGGTCACACACGGCGCAAGTCGCAACAGCGCAGCCCGGCGCGCATCTTTCGTGACGGAGAAGCGTCCATTGGGCAAGAATCATGAAGGAGCAGAAACAAACTTTCCTGCGTGCCAGATACCGCCAAAGTACATGGCTCAGCATCAATACCATTCACACATTAATTCTAGATTTGAAGCTTTCGTGACTGCAAGGATTCATACTCTTAGGTTTTTCGGTAAAGTCACGTAGGTAAAAAATACAATTAAAATTAATAAAAGTATTAATAGAAATGAAAAATAATAATAAATTTTATATTTTTTTTTATTAATACTAAAATAAAATAACCATTTATTTTATTTTATTTCTATTAATACTTTTATTAATTTTAATTTTATTTTTTACCTACGTGACTCTACCGAAAAAACCTAAGAGTATGAGTACCATTCACACAACTGGGTGGTGGCACGGCCCAGCGGCGGGGCGTTTTCGCCGCTCGACGCGGAGGTTCGCCGCTCGGGGACTCCAGCGGCCGGTCTGGTCAACGCTGCAGCGTGCGTACTGAGCATGAAGCACGCACCCCCTAGCCTGCTTCACAGCGGACGTTCAAGCGTCCCGTGATGTCATTCGCAACAGGGGGCCGTTGTGTGCCAAATCTCATGGTTCAAGTTTGCCCAATTTCTTTTCACACGCTTTTATTTAACTCACTCTGTCTGTTCTATCCTCACCTCTGTCTGTTGTCGTATCCTCAAATCTTGTAACTCAATTTTAACCCACTTCCCAATGTGGTATCGACTGCAGACTTGGTATACGTATGTCATACTGATGACAATACTATATTCTATCATTAAAAATAACATATATATATTTTTTAAGCAATCTTTTTTGTATCTTATGTTTCGCCTTGGGTCTAATTGTCCACGCTCAACTCACGTTGGCTGTAAATCACAACGGCCCCTTACGTTATGGCAAGCTTCGGGGCCACTTCTTGGAGTCGTGGAGTTCTGCCATTACTCGTATGGTACATTTCATTAAAGCGTGTTTAAAAAAAAGTATTTTCAAATATTACTTATTTTTTAAATGACACCGCAAAGAACTCAATTGGAATCTGCAGGGCAACCGTCGCTCCCCCCGACTGCGAAAACTTGGCAGGACCCATATACCTGTTAACCCCTTATCAGTGCCCTACCTTATTACAGACAAATTCAGACCGTACTGGTCACCCCGTGCCCTTATACATCTCAACATCCTACAAGTCCCATCGCAACAAGGGAGAAACACAAAGACAATCACAACTACTCACCACTAGTACACTCACCACTACAGACCTGTCTACCCCTTATCAGTGCCCTACCTTATTACAGACAAATTCAGCCTGTGTAGGCTACATGGAAAGATCTTTGTCTTTGTCATCTACCTTACTCTTGCATGTGCCCTCATATGTAATGTACATAAAATCACCCACATCAAACTCCACTGACCTCTGCTACTTGTTAAAAGCATGAAGTAAACATGATTAAATACTTTAAACGTTTTAGCTGGGGCCTAAAACCAACACAAAACATTTCTAGAACAAACTGTATTTACCGATTTTTTTACAATTGTTTACAAATAAAATAAATATTTAAAAGTTTAATTGTTTAACGTTTTCATATTGAGCCCGTGACTTTACGACAATCTGTTACTTTTGAGAAAATTGCTGAAATTTTTTTTGGATAAAACAAAATATATTTAACTGGGAAACATCTTGCATCTATCAAAATTACAATCGTGATTACACAGATGTATGAAATCAATCTAGATGCATGGCTGATCCGTCATCAATTGCTCAAGATCCTGTGACTAATACTCGTGTAAGTCTGCCAACCGGGTAAATAAAGCTCACTGCTAAAACTGTATTAGAATAAGGCATATGACTAAGCCACATGAATCACAGGAGACACGGAATAAACATATGCTACTCCATGTAAAATGTGCATTTTATACGCATACTTGAAGAGCACATGAATCACAACACAGTTATGTACTTTAATGTTTTCCATACAACTTTGCTCAGTGTAATTATCATTTAATGCGGTGTTCAAATAAACAGGAAGTGGCAAAAACATGAGTCCACGGGGTTGGATGGTTTTTCAAATCGAGTAATTTTTCATGGGAAAATTATATCTAAAAATATATATTATTCTTCTCTTGTGTAGACTATCCTGACTGAAACTATCTTCTGTGTAACATTTCTGTAATATACTCAAACTGTTGCCATTAGTATTTTTTTCTAACCACTATATCATATCTCAATTTCCATCGTCTTAAAGTCTACCAATCGGAATATACAACATTACAACTGCATTGTCAAGATCAAGATGTCATCATGGCCAAAGCCATTTGTCATCATGCCACCGCACCTTGCTTTCTACCCTGCGCTAGATACCACAGCCGGTGCATAGTAGCCACGTGACCTCCTAGATCCACTCTCACAGTCTCCCTCCATCTAGCCCGAGCTATCCCCTCCCCTCCTCCTCCCTTGGTCTTCCGGTGAGGTTATCCATGCAATCCACAAAATAAATTAGCAGACGATTGTGCCTCTCTTTCACATATCCATAGCTCCTCACACACACGATAAGTATTTCTTACACGACCCATTAGCCGCACAATCTACAATCATTTCGACAATGGAGGTATTCTAAAAACCACCAAGCCATTCGCACACACACGTGCTCGCACGCGCACAAATGTACCTTGATGGAGGCGCCTGCAAATCTTGAGATCTGCTTAATGTTCTGGCCCTTTTTGCCAATGATGGCACCGACCGACTGCGTAGGGATGAACAGGAAGACCGTCTCCTGCTCCGTCTGCTGCTCTCACACACACACACGCGCACACGCGTGCATGCAGCACAAACACACGGGGTGGGGGTGGTGGGCAAGCACACAGACAAGCATGTACGCGCACGCGCGCGACACGGCAGGGCAGCGGGTCGCATGGAATCCGTGGCGGTGCCTCGCTGTGGACGCAACCACCAACGTGCACGACGCTTTGGGGGTCGGTGACAAAACCATGCAGAGGGTCGAGCCGTGGTTACCAGGCAAAGCTTCGAAAGGGGGCAAAGGGAGCGCGCAGAGCTGTGGACATCGCCAATTGAATCTGTTGATTGAACGTAGGATGTGACTGCACCGTAAAATCTCCCCAAGCCAGACTGAAGTAAGCTCGAATTCAGTGCAAGCTGCCCGAAACAAATAACTAAACTGAGAAATAAAGAGGACACAAAACTCCGGCAGGAACATAGTTTGCGCATTAATTACACCAAGTCGTGTAAAAATCCGGTGAGCATGGCACTTGGAAGCCACGCTCATCTACATTCGCTGTGAATGGTCTCACGTCGTGAGAATTATTTAATGTTTAATTTTTATTATTTTATTATTTCCCTTCTACGTGACTTTACCGAAAGAACCAAGAATATGGTCTCATCATTTCACATTTCTTTTACGTTTATCTTACAAATAATGTATATTCGTCAAGCACGTCAAAATACCTCTGCAGCTGTCCACGTCCAATGAATGTTAGCATTCCAATTCTGATTCATGGTGGTGATAACGTAACAGGTTAATTATACAGTAGTAATTTCCGTGTTATTAAAACTGTTAATATTTCACTGTCAATAGTTAATTGTCATCGAGCATTAATTACATGTCTTAAGTTGTAGATACACATGAATGTTATTAATATGCATGTTGGTTTTTATCACCATTTCATTATTTGCAGTAGACTAGACATCGCTCATAACCAGAAAAGTTGTACCAAATTGGTCTGACTTTGAGAGGTTTTACTCTTACTTTACATTTCAAAAGCAATAAGGTTATTTACAATTGCAGAAGCACTCTCTAAAGTCGAACCTCCCGGTGTTAACTTTCCACCATGCCAATGGTTGAGCATCAGACGAATCCAGACCGGGCATTGCCGATGCGGTCACCTGATGCACAAATGGGCGCATCAAAGATCCAGCGGTCTGCGAGTGCTCGGCCACGACTCCCGAAACCATCGACGGCGTCGTAAACAATCCGCTGCTGCTGCTGCTGCTGCGGTATTCACTCCTTTATAGGAGGAACCGACGAGATCCACTCTGCTTCTGAACAAAGCATTGAGCAGATAACAAATCTAACATGGTATCTTTAATCTGCCGTTATTAATCCATACTAAAGAAGCAAAAGAAGCACTCTAAGAAGCAGCAGCATCGCACAGAGGTGAGAGCCTGTGTTAATGTTGGCTCGGCAACATGAGCGCACACACACACACACAACAACGACGATCAAGCACGAAGAGTACTAGAAGCAATTTTCTAAATACGAATCACAAATTAATATTTGTGCTGCAAGCAGGTTAGGGCAACGCACGGACACACAAAATCACGTGGGAAGCTGCTACATGGAATATGCAACAGCCAATTCCTGCCCTTTGATTAAACAGAAAAAGGGGGCTCAGATAGCAATAGATGATGCCCATTTAAATTGTTTTTACCAAGTCTCCAAGAGCTAAGACTTCACATTTGATGGTCTCAAGTAACATATACTTAAATGGCTATCGTATGCTGCAACTAAAACAAAAACATTTTTATGACGGTAATGTGTTGTGTTCCCCTTTGGCTAATTACTGAATAAAATAAAACAAATACATCTAAACTCAAGGCATCCTTTGAGATCTCTGCTCGTTTTTTCACACAAAGCTGTGGCTATAACCTGTCATCTCATAGTTATTTATTTTAAATGCCTTCACTAGCTTCAGACTCTTCCATGACTATTTTGGCAACAGAGTACTCTGCGCTGTATCTGGATAAGAAGAGGAAACGCTGAACACCAGTGAGGAGGCGCCAGGACTGTGTGACTACAACGCTACGGCAGGAGCTCCCCCCTCTAGCTGCACTTACAGCTGCGGGCTGGGCCACTGCCGGCGTGACAGCAGACGTGCCGTACGCACCACCCACAAACGACGGGTGACTCTGAATCAGACACAGAGACAGGGACGGTGTAGAGGGCTGGCGGATGGGGGGGGGGGGTCGTGGGTGGGGGTCGTGGGTGGGGGTCGTGTGTGGGGGGGAACGACGACTCACGAAACCCACAGAGAAAGCACGAACCCCGCTCATGGCCAACACCAGTGACGATTATCCAAACCGATCCTGGGCCTCCCCTAGGTCGACTCAGATCTCAAATGAGTAGCTGGTGCGGTGTGTAACATTGCTAATAAGAAGACAAAGGCGGCCGGGCATGGTGTTGCCCACTCTCGGTGTGTCGTGCCTGCCTTTATAATAGCTGCTCGCTAACAGCACTTGCCCCAACAGGTTGTCGAAAGCTATACAGAGGGGATTTAAGTCTTTGTTAGCAGTAGCACAGCCGAGAGGTTTCGCCTCTGTGTCGCGTTAGCACCAAGAGGAGACATTGGAAGACTGCTCCACACCAATAACTAGTGCCGCTGTAGACAGCCGTATTAGAAAACTCACAAAACAACATAAAATAAGACATTTAAAAAAGAAAATTAAACGAGAAAAAAATATATAAATCATTCGACTCGACACGTTCTTGCAAATGGCTTTACGCCGTGCAGGGAAACACACATTTCAGTGAAAACATGCAAACAAATTTGATTCAGGTGCTCGATGGAAAGCTAAAAGAGAGGAAGTGGGGAAGGGCAGAGTTCTTACCGCAAACGGCATGTAGGGGGTGTTCATGGCACGTGGCACTGATGAGGCCGGCATTCCGGGCATAGATGGGGGGAAAAGCCCCACTGCGTTCAAGTTCAGCCCTGGGATCAGGTTTCCCTGTTGCTGAAACGGCACAAAAACACAACCGTGGCGAGATAAAAAAAATGGCGAAGCAATTTACAACAAAGCCAACTCGCAACAACTCCCTGCATCAACAACAAGCGTGGGGTAGCAGCACTCCTATCTCTCTCTCTCTCGCAGCCCTGAGCCGGTGTGGGAAACTCCACAATTCCCTTGGAGGGTGCCAGTCTCCCAACGGACCAAGCACTGATAACTTCCTACAAAGCGGTACCATTTTATCGTATCCAAAAAGATGATCGGTTGAGTTTGCTACCGCTTTAACCCTGACCAACATTTGAAGCCAACAAATCTTCATATGGTGACCTGAGCACTTCAACAGTGCCAACCTCTTCTTGGTTCTTTCGGTAAAGTCACGTAGAAGGAAAATAATAAAATAATAAAAATAAAACATTATAAAATAATGCTCACGACGTTTCGGCCACAACGCAAGCAGCCGTCCTCAGGTGAAGAACAGGCCTGTCGAGAAGACATTCAGACTCTGTCTTCTCGACAGACATGTTCTTCACCTGAGGACGGCTGCTTGCGTTGTGGCCGAAACGTCGTGAGAATTTGATTTTATTATGTTCAATTTGTATTATTTTATTATTTCCCTTCTACGTGACTTTACCGAAAGAACCAAGAATATAGTGCCAACCTCAGGAAGAAGTTTAAAAAATATATTGTAACACTAAGATAACAAATCTGGGTTGTGTTTTCTTGGCATCACTAAGAGCTGTAAGATGGTTCAACGTTCTCTAGAATTGTACCATCTTACTTAAAAAATAAACACGATGATGACGGAGACATGAAATATACTTATTGGCATCTGGCACACATTAAAACATTAAAGGAGTGACAATGTTCTAAAGAAAAGAAGATCACATGTGGGAGCACAGCCACATGTGGTAGTACTGTTATTGTGATAGTAAATTGATGTAACAGCTGTAATTGCAATCATTATCACTGTCGTAAATTACAACCGGAGGGCCCCCCCCCCCCCCCCCCGTGTGATTGTACCGAGTTCCCATATCAGTTAGATGCCTTCACCAACCCACACTGACCAGCGTGGTGAAGTGTGGTCAAACAACAACGCTGCAACTCACGGATGTTACGCTTAAACCACGGTCACCAGCAGTTCTGCTTCCACCAGCTGTGAGACACTGACTGGGTAGGTGAAGAAGCAGGGTCAGTGGGATACGGACAGGGTGCCTTTAGGATTTGTACGTAGCGAAATAGAAACAACTAAGCAGGTGTGTGACAAAAGCTGGAGCGCCGATGCTGCAGAGTAAAGTAAATTTTATATCTTCTTGTTTCTTTCGGTAAAGTCACGTAAGAAACAAGAAGATGAATCCCTGCAGTCACGAAAGCTTTAAATCGAAATTTAAATTTTATATATTAGAGATAGCAGTCCTTGCGATGAGACCCAGAAATAGAGTGAGAGACAGCAACACGAGATGGCCATGAGTGAAGACAGAGAGACCGTATGTCCGAGTAGAAGCGATGATACAGCCGAGACAAGAGGTGTGTAAGAAGAGATGTGGCCAAGACGGGCACGATGACTTAAGAGATCTTCTTGGTTCTTTCGGTAAAGTCACGTAGAATGGAAATAATAAAATAATACAAATAAAACATAATAAAATAATTCTCACGACGTTTCTATGTTTAATTTACTTATTATGTTTAATGTTTATTATTTTATTATTTCCGTTCTACGTGACTTTACCGAAAGATTTTTCGATTTAAAGCTTTCGTGACTACAGGGATTCATCTTCTTGGTTCTTTCGGTAAAGTCACGTAGAATGGAAATAATAAAATAATAAAAATAAAACATAATTAAATAATTCTCACGACGTTTCGGCCACAACGCAAGCAGCCGTCCTCAGACTCTGTCTACTCGACAGACCTGCTCGACAGACCTGCTCTCCACCTGAGGACGGCTGCTTGCGTTGTGGCCGAAACGTCGTGAGAATTATTTTATTATGTTTTATTTTTATTATTTTATTATTTGCATTCTACGTGACTTTACCGAAAGAACCAAGAAGATGAATCCCTGCAGTCACGAAAGCTTTAAATCGAGACTTAAGAGATGTGTTCAGTTGAAACAGAACAGAGACAAGTTGAAGATTAATTGCCTGCACACTGCTATGTGCCACGGCACGTAAGTCGCGACAAGGGTGCCCGTTTCAGCCGTGCCTACCTCACCAGCTCCTCTTGGGTTGAGACAGCAGAGTGCAAAATGTTGCCGGTGTTAAATCCGATTTTTCCCCGAATGTCTTCCTATACCACAGGATTTATTTTTTACCGCCATTATTTTTTTCCCTCCGGTTTTCATTTTTTGTCTTTGATTCCCCCCCCCCCCCCCCCAACAATCACTGGTTTAGACCCCGTGCTGCCTTCTAAAACCCTTTCCTGACCTCTCCACATTCCTGGCGCTCGTTCCCACTGACTTTTGGCATATGTTCCTGGGCCCTGTTTGGTGTTGAACTTTAAGGACCTTATTCTTGATTGCTTGTGTTGCAATCGAAACGTCGTGATAATTTTATTGTTTTATTTTTATTATTAAAAGTAAAGTCACGTAGAAGGTGTGGTTTTCACACACCTGATGATGATTGCTTGTGTTGCAATCGAAACGTCGTGAGAATTTTATTGTTGTAATTTTATTATTTTATTATTTCCCTTCTACGTGACTTTACCGAAAGAACCAAGAATATGAATCGCTGCAGTCACGAAAGCTTTAAATCGAACTTCAAGGACCTTGTTGGCATTAAACCTTGTTGCTGCTGCCAGCCCCCTCCTGTGCTCGCCAGCATCGAGACACTTGGTAGTGTCGACCCTCCGAATCTCATTGGTACTGGGGGAGCTTCATTGTGCTGGCAACTTTCTCCTTGGCGTTGAAGTCGAGCGGTCTATCGATGCCTGCCCCGGGGTTCATGTGTTCATCCCTCTCTCATTTCCCATATCTTAAGCCCTGCCCTGTCTCATTCAGCTAAGTTTCTATTTTGCCAGAGACCTAAAAAAGCCTCTTTAGACACTGGCCATAAAAAAACTAAAATCGGATGCATTCCCATGCGAGTTCTACTCTTACCCAACTAAATGGCACAAAAGCATGCAAAAATATTAACTTAAAGATATTTATAAAGTAATGCACATTTTTAGACGTACAATTCTTATCAATTTTGTGCCAATATTATTTATCATTGTGAAAAACATGCTAACTGCACAGGTATCAGGTGGTGGTATAAATAAATATCGATTCCTCTATTTGTAATCAATATACTTTCCCACCATTGAACATGTTAGGGTGAGATAGTTGGGCTTGGTTACTGCTAAGGGAAAGGCAAATGAGCAAAAACTTCATTGGTTTGAACAAAGTTAAGTCCAAACAGATTGCATAACAAGTTAAACAGCACGGAAAACCAAGTGATGGAACCATTTCATAGATAAGTTTGTAACGTGGTCCTAAAAAGATTTTTACTTGAAATTACAGGGATACAGACTTATACAAGAAGATAATTTTGCAACAAGCAAATAAGGAGGGGGGTGGGGGTGGGAAGGGGGTACCACAAATATTCAAAAGGGGAACCCCAAATTCCTAAAATATTGGTTCCTCTTGGGAACAAATATTGGTTTCTGTGGGGGGGGGGGGGGGGAACAAATGTTGGAGGAGGAACGTAACATTCCCTGGCGCCAGCAAAGCGCCAGTGCACGGCTGCGATGGAGCGCCACCTGGTGCCAGCCGGTACGCCACTCCTGCCCCAAGGAAAGCCTGAACCCCTAGGCCCGCTGTTATATTCTGCAAGATGTGACACGTTGGGGCGGCATTATACATCGTCTCGAAGGAGGGAGATCAAAGAAATCACCTTTTTAAAGCTGATACGCGTGAACGTATTTAATGTTGAATGTAACCCTAGAATTGTCGAAAGTGCAGTAATCCCTCGTTATTTACAGCGAGGGATACGTTCTGGAGATGCTCGTGAAGAGCAAATTTTGTGGATAATGATATTGGCCTATGAAAACCTGTCTTTTGAATCAATCATCTTAAATAAATACATAAGCTATTTAACGTATGAAAATGATCATAATGCAAAACAATTGGGTTTTAATAAAAAAGTAAATACATTTTATATGAAAGTATTAGATAATATATCTCATCATGAGGCCTCCTTTGCCAGCACCAAAATATAATAACAGGGGTTTTCCCCTTTTTTCTGGCGACAAAACTGACACCTTTTGCAAGGAATCATGTTTGCATGAACCACAATACTTGCAGTCAGAATGCAAACAAAAAACATACTCTGATAATTTATGCATTGTCCCTGAAACTGATTGGTCCACACCAGAGACAGCTTTCCTTAGAGCCTAGTCTCATACGGTGTTCGACCAGATGACGCCAAAGGCGCACACAGTTGAACTGTCTGTAACATAGCTCCTTTTAACGCAGAACGCGTAACGTTATGAAGCAGTTTCTGAGCAGTCGGCAACAAAGTACTTTCGTGAGCAGCACGGCTGAGCGGCTACAGTGATACAGTACGCAGAATGATACAGTAACGCGGCAGCGAACCCTCCGTTATTGTCCCGCCATCTCACTGTGTGTAGTAGTAGTGGTAGTACATCGCATCTCGGCAACATTTATCGTGACATTATTTACGGGGAAATCTCTTTGCCCAACGCGGCACTTTTTAGGAACGCATCTCCCACGTTAAACGAGGACTTAATGCAAACTTGGGAATCGAAAACCCCACGTGCATTTAAAAGCGATTATGTTATAATACCCACAACAACAACAACAAGAGACAGGGTATAACAATGACAATGCTCCCACTGTACTTGCACCCAACTCAAGAGGTTTCCGATTGCACAACAAAAGCGAAATCCTCACGTTCATGGCGGCGAGGTCGTTCTCGTAGGCTTCTCGGAGCCTCTTCATGATCTCCCCCTCCGCCTTGGAGGTCGCCTCGACGCTGCCCCGCACGGTGATCGTCCTCTCCGGGTTGTACAGGGTCAGGTCCTGTAAACTGAGGTCCACCAAAAATTATTAAATCACCACGCGCAACAACAGCAGCGGCACACACCAGAAAGCTCCGAATAAAAAAGCATATATTTCAAGATTCGCAAATCAGTAGGCACTTATCTGCCGCAAGTATTATCATCTTCATAATCCACAATCAATCCACTGCTGGGTGAAGGTCGGGGTGGAGGCAGTATAAAATATATATGCACATGGTAATAAGCTTGCAAATCTAACTAACAAAAAGCGGTTGCCATCCACAATGCCCTGTCAAAGAAGATGCCATTGAGGGTAAACGTTCGCAGTTGAACAGGGGATTGGTGGTATTACAGTTTATCCACGGTGAAAGGTCTTGGCATCATTGAGACACCGAGTTAAAGCACACAGGTCAATTAGGGGACATACATTGCCAAGGCATGCCTGGAACAGTTATCAAACAAGCAATGGGCTGATTTGTACATATGCAAAGTGTTGAGTTATATATAGCGTGAAAGATGAGCGAGCATCAACATGCTGGTGTATCATTTTTAATCCTACCCAAATGCTATCTTTCAGGCATTACGATCCTATTTGTGCATTTTGTGACACTTTAACTGCTCCCATATGTCTACATATGAAGCGAGTGACTGCATTGGGTTAAGTAATGTTCTAGCGGGTTCCAACTACTGACACACCTGACAAAGGCGCTCCAATGTAATTCATAAATTAACATAAGGGTTGAATAACAGAACGTCACCATGTTGAAGGGAGAAAGAACGTGGACTCAAAAATACAAAAATTTGTCCAAATTGCACAGGTGTCTCTTAACCATTTCTAAACTGTTGATATGCAAATCCCTTTGTCAAGGCGCCCTTCCTCCCCTAACCCAGCTTAAATATGCGCTGCCAAGCCTGGTGGTGTTCATTCAGACGCTGTCTTTCCGACAGACCTGTTCTTCACCTGAGGACGGCTGCTTGCGTTGTGGCCGAAACGTCGTGAGAATTGTATTTTATTATGTTTTATTTTTATTATTTTATTATTTCCCTTCTACTTGACTTTACCGAAAGAACCAAGAAGACATTTCTAAACAGGCTGAGAGTGTCCCGACACCCAAAACACAGAAAATTATTCTTCAGCCGATCACGTAAGTACATTACTGTAAAGTGGAAGACTCCTGCATGTGCATCATACTGAAGCTAACTTAAGTACCGCGCCAAAGCACAGCACACAATCACAGCATATTAAAAACATGTACAACAATTATGAAATTATGTGTGAATGAGATTCATCCTTGTCATTGAGTTTTCACCTGGTTAAACAAAATAAACTTGAAATACTTAAAAGGAGCTAAGTTACAGACATCAGTGAAATTCAAAGATGTGCAGTTTCACAGTCAGTCCAAAGAATGCTTTAATGAGCTAAACTCAGAATGTAGAAGCGTATAAAAAAAGACGGCGGTAAAGTTGTGGCCGTACAGAAGTTTTACGTGGCAAAACAAAAAGGATTAACATTTTCCTCCATGTATGGAATTTGTAATTGCTGTGTATTTAAACGAGCATTCCACCTCAAAGAGAGAAAAGACAAAGATCCCCTGTATAGCCTTAACTGATTGTTGGGGCAAGTGCTGTTAGTGAGCACCTATGAAGGCTGGCAAGGCACACGGGGGGGGAGTGGGTGAGCAGCACCATGGAGATGTTTTACACATCACCCACGTACTCAGTTGAAGCCGAGTTGAACTAGGGTAAGGCCCGGGACCGGTGCAGATAATCATCGCTGGTGTTAGTGGCCTTGAGCAGGAATCCAACTCGGGTCACCGGGTTCTTAGCGTGGTGCGCTAACCGCTGTACTACCGCTTAAGGAGAGGACACAGCTGGCAGCAGGGGCGTGTTTGTGATGGATGCACACTCACGGGGAGATGGTGATTTTTGTTTCCGTGTCCTGCTCAATCTTCTTGAGATTGCGACCCTCTTTGCCGATCAGGCGCCCTACAAAGTTGTTGTGGGCCAGGATTTTCAGAGGGACATCCTCCCCTCTGTAGGAAGACAACGCAAGTGGTAAAGGGGGACGCGGAAGATAATACCATTTACAGTCTTTAAGTTTAACTGCAAAGTAAAAAAAAAATTTGTTGCCAAGGATTTAACCCTCGAAAATTATTGCACCGCAGCACTACCACTTATTGAATTATAGGTGTACTCAATTGTCTTCACTAATTTTCAGAATTTTTTTTACATTTGTTTTCAAACACATACATTAGAATGAATGATGGCATGAAACTTGTAACGGCAACATCTGCTATAAAAGTATATATAATTAATGAGGAACACATTAACTTTGAGGGAAAGAGTAAGATTCAGCAATGCATACACACATCCATCTGATACATATCTGATGTGGTATTCATGGGAACTTCGGCATTATTTCAGTCGCAATTTATTTCAATCTGCTTGTCAAATTTCTGTTATTATTACAATTGCTACGTGACCGCCCCCCCCCCCCCCCCGCACATTCCCCACAGTTTAAGAATCACTTGTAGGGAAAGCAATTCCCCAGTAATAATGAAGTGATGTGAGCTGCTAACTTATGGATTAAGAAGAAAGACAAAAAGGGGCAATCCTGGGCAGGAAATAAAATCCGTTTGTATTGTGAGGAAACTACACGGAGGGAAAATAACACCATTTAAACAAGGTCAATTATCGAGTTTAGCTTTTTTCGTTAGGCCGCAGACATGTTCATCACTCTTTGCACGTTTCCGTCACAACGGAAAATGTGGGCTACATCTTTCGAAGTTAATGAACGACAAAAAGTGGAGTAAAAAAAACGCTTGAACATGGACACAGTGAAGTCAGAAATTGATGTTGGAAAGGCTCCCCTTAGATACAACAAAAATACTGGGAAAAACACAACGCTGGTAATGCACTGCTCGCGTGATAGCCAAGCAGTGCGCGTGGAAGAGTACGGTATTCTGCACATATTTACACGACCTAAACCAAAAACCTTCCTTGTGAATAATATGGGTCGCGAGAGCCTACGTGTTAAACTGATTCTGTGGTCATTCATTTTTATTAAATAAACGTACGATGGGGAAATTCGTGCATTCATTTAGATAGAAAATCTAAGTCCAACAAGCAAGGGCAACACCATCCGACCTCGTGGTAGGCCAATATTTTGGCAAAATGCTTCAGAAACCGTAAAAGGTAACTTAACCGGAATGGGACAATGTGAGTAGTTTAAGTCTGTTAAAGGGAAAAGCAACCCACAGTTCTTATTTGGGAAATAAGTAACGATACTGCGTATCCTGTGGGGCGAGGGTATTGCTTTAACTTCCTCAGCACCGTAACAAACTCTCCGGTGACATCGCGCTGGTGGACGTACACTCTGTCATCTCCTCACAGGAAATTAAAATTCGTTTCTCACGAAAAAAGTTACAAATTTGAAACTGATAAGCCCAGGGCACAGCCTGGGCAATGCAAACATATTCTTCTACATTTTTAAGTGATTTGGTATTTGGGTAGTGTCTTGGAGGGCATAGATAATGTTTAGATATCTATATACACATTGATTTGAAGCTTTCGTGACCGCAGGAATTCATACTCTTTGATTCTTTCGGTATAGAAAAATAATAGATCACGATGTTTCGATCGCAACACAGGCAATCGTCTTCAGGTGAGAGTGATTTATTTTATTTCATACCTACGTGACTTTACCGAAAGAACCAAAGAGTATGGATTCCTGCAGTCACGAAAGCTTCAAATCAAGACAGAGAAAGCTATTGAAACTAAAATGTGCGTACTTTTTTTTTACTATTTTCTTCCATACCGTTTTTTTCTCCTTATTTCCATCTAAATGTATCAAATCATGCTTTGGACAATGCTCTTCCCTTCATATTACAAAGCATTTGGTTTTGATCCATAAGCTAATTTCTTTCAAACTGCTTTTTGTGTTTAGTTTGTTGTCCTTCCCCTGCACCTCCGATTAGCACGGTTGGATATGTACGGTTTGAGAGAACTTAAACACATACATCAATGCAAGCGGAGTTATACTATATTTCACTGCAATGTACAGGTCATAATGCAAAAACTACTACCATTGAATGCATCCCCAATTGCTTGTGAAATAATTCAGGGTAAGAAAACGTCACAATATATATCTTTTACGTTTTTCCCCAATTCGCTTGTAAATGAGACATCCTGGAGCTGAGCAGTATTTTTATAAAATATCAGAAAAATAACAAAGATGTTTCAGACAATAATCGTAGACATGGAGATTTTTTTTCTCAATTTAACCAGTGAAATCACTGTAATCTAGTTTTGTTCAGCACGAGTTTTATGGGCTTACATTAATCACATCTCACTGGTCAACCAATCGGAATGCAGCTACTCTCTCGCAAAAAAGCGATTCAGAGCAGGCGTTGACCGCGGCGAGGAAAACTCGTGCCGAAAGAGCAGCCGACGACAAATGTGTCCCCTCTGTTGGGCGCCGGCTGTGAGCGGCAGACTCACGACTTTGTGTCCTGCGCCTCCTTCAACATGATCTCCATGATCATCTTGCACGCGGCCGTGCAGCCATCCGGAGCCGACTGGATGGTGATGGGCTTCTCTGCCGAGCCGGCATTCTCCTTGCGGTGAACGTCCACCCTGGGGGTATGGTAGGGGGAGGGGGGTGGACAATCAACTTCATTTCTCACACATCAGGACTATTTAACCTATATTTTGCCGGCGGACCACGAAGAAATTCGCGCGTGCGCTGGCAGGTCGAGTGGCATCGTACGTCACGTAATACGGACGTCAAGGATGTCACGTGCCAGATGGCACGTCGCAACGTTTGTAATCGAGACCACCGATCTGTGCCTCTGGCCTACGGCGGCCGCGCTCGCCAGAATGGCGAAGTATGGTCAAACAACTCGCATGGCCGAGATCGGCATGGGGATTGTGAAGGGCCTCTAAATTATTTTCTAATTATTCTGAGCAGGGCTTAAAGTACTCCCACCTCTGCCAGGGCTCTCGAAGGCTACCTCGAGTGGAGGTCCCTGCCTCCATCGGCATGCATAACAAATTGCACGCCTGTAACCACCCTCCTTGACAATGGTAACCGTTGCTACTGGGAGATAACAATAATGACAAACTTAGACATCGCGTTTCCGTCATTTCATTTTGGGTTCTGTTTGCTTCAATTATTCCTCGCGATCGTTACCCCGACCGCGGGAAGGGCAAGCGAGCGCCGACGCCCTCGTGCGTTCGTTCCCTAACTTTGAGGGTGCATCGCGCCCAAGCTTGTTGCACGTCATCTCTTGTTGAGTACCCTCCTTTTAAAATTCCTGCTGTATCCTGGGGTTCTTTAATGACGATTTTAAAAAACTCTCACGAAAAAAATTGTAGGCCTGCAACTTTACCCTTTACCACCTATCGCAAGCGCACAACCCCGCGCAACTCCACGCGACACGCCGATGGGGGTGCGGGGGCACCAGGGCCTTGCAAGGAGGCCCGCGCGCTCACTTGGACTGAGTCTGCTGGGTGATGGAGCGGATGGTTGCGCCCTCCTTGCCGATGATGGCTCCCACAAACTGGCTGGGCACGAGGATGCGCAGCGGGATGTCGGCCTGCTGGCGCCCGCGTCCGGAGGGGCCGCCACCGCCGCCACCGCCACCGCCGCCCGCGGCTCCCTGCCCCGAGGAGCCGGATTGGCTGCCCCGGCGGCGGGCGGACTGCTGAGAGCCGCTCGGCTGCGCCGGGGCCATCTCGTCGGGGATGTAGGACACCTTGAGGGCGTGGCTCTCCAGCTCGTGGCCGTTCAGCTTCTCCAGGGCCCTGCAAAGCAACAGGCGGGATGGCGCTGTAACGACCCGCAGGAGCGCACGCTGTCACTCAAATGACTTTTAACTATTTTAATTTTACCAGGAAAGGACCACTGAGCCGTGTAGCTCTTTTTCAGAAGCGACCTGACCACAAACGATAGCTCGACCAAGTGGCTTAGCACGTGGAAATGTATAGTAGCCAAATAAACTAATGTTTCGAGGGAAAAACTGGAGGAACCAGAGAAAAATCCATGCGACTAATGGGAGAACATGCAAACTCCAAATGAAAAAAAATATATATCGGTGTCAGGGTCCAGATCGCACCTACGACCTCCTGTACATCTTGCCACCGTTATATTAACATTAAAAAAACGGTCATCACCGCTCAATCCATCCCCAGCTTTAATTTAACTTCTCATCTGATTTTGACTACACCTCTCAAGCTTCCCTCCACACTTCCTCCCCACCCATCCCTCAGACCTTCCGCTATGCATAAGTTTCACAACTCTAGAGCACGTAGAGATGTGGTCGCATTTAGATCACATATATATTGAACCAAATAATTGTGTTACGTTGTATTCATGCAAAGGAGCGAAGTGTTTATATTTGGCCAGGCCTGATGGACTGTACTCTATCCTCAAAGGTCTTGGTTTTCTCCGAGTATACTGGTTCCTTCCACGAGTAAAATATGACTCAGGAAAGAAACAGGCTCAATAAAAGGGATGCCCTCGGCAAACGTGCCCTCATCACATCCGAGCTCTGAGACCAACGCCACTGGCACAAACTGCCAAATCCACTGCTCCGTTGCAAAGGACGGCTCACATGTATGTATGTTGGACTTCTTTTGCACCGTACGTAGCCAACCGTGCGCTAACCGGAGGCGCGGGAGGAAGGACGACAAACTAAAATACAAGAAGCGTTGGCGTAAAACTGCCCTTAATACAGGAATGAGGTTACTAAAGGCCACGGCACTAAAGGCCATGACCCGAGAGGACACGTGACCAGTTGAGTCTACAAAGGGGCCACAAGTGGGGGCTAGGGGTGGTCACGTGGTCGGGGTCCAGATCCTGCTCGAGGATTCTGGAAGGTGGTCGTGGCCAAGGGCAGAGCCAGCCACGCCGCAGAGAATATAAGCCGGGTCTCCAGAGGGACCGGCGTTGTTGTTGATCCTGAAGAAACCTTCGTCTACGTTCTACATCCTACCGAGTCTCCAACACGTGGACCTAGACCCAAGCTGTGGTCCCAGTCCGTAGTAGCAGTTACATTGTTATTAGTGTAGTTAGCCTGGTGGTCACCACCATATAGGTTGTTATCGTGTTAAGGGGCAGTTACCCCGTGTGTTGGTGTTAAATAAAACTGTTACCTCCAAGTATACGTCTGCGACTCAGTTGAACTCATTACACATGGACCACATGCACGTTGGAGGCACTATTTTGATTTTCATTAAGCAGTGGATAGCGCAGAATGACATTGATAATCAGAATCAGAATCTTTATTTAGGCTGGAGGAATTCCGATCAGCTATGAAGCTCTTTTTCACAGATGTCCAGGATGGGACGGGGCAGCGAGTTGCGTCAACAATAAAAACAAAAATACAAAAAAGCAATCCAAGAGCAATGAATAGAAAAGTGAAGCAAGTCACTTAAACTACCTCTTCCATGCTTTAGAGTTCAACTGCATAACTGGATTATGATTTAAAAGAGTAATTTTGTTACAAAAAGCAACCTTACTTAGTTATCTTACGATGTGCATAGGTGACCAAAAACTCCAAAATGAATCATCTTGCAGAAATTACAGAATAAACACAACACTCATTTCCTAGGAATGTTTGGCAAATGCCAATTACATGACATGTTTTTAGCTATGGAAAGAAACTTGAGAATCCGAAGGAAACCTTTGCAGAACAGGGCGAGGGAACATACAAACTCCACGTAGACAGCCACTCGAATCTGGAATCGAATTCAGGCCTTTCTTGCTGTGAGGCACAAGTGTTACCACCGCTCCACCCTGGTAACCACACTTTGCAGGCTGGATGCAGTTAATATCCCCCCATTAAACGGATACTCCCCATTGTATTTATAATGCTTGCAAATAGCCACTGCTGGATCATTATGGAAAATTACCATGTAGAGCCCTCGACGGAGAGCATTGTTCAACTCGCATTGCAAGCATTTATTTGTAAGTGCTAAATGCTAAATGAATGAGTCATCTGTAGTGCACACACACACACACGAGGTTTCATGCAGGTGCTCTGTGTAAGAGCTTCAGACTTACTGCTTGGCTTGGTCCTTGCTGGCAAAGGTGACATTTACAACGGCCGTCTCGCTGTCTGATGTCACTGGGAAATCACAAACATAGACACCTATTTAGAAACAAAAAGAGTTTTACACGTTTACAATACAGGTTGTAACAGATTAGCATTCATTTTAATAGCATGAGATATTCAGCTGGATGGCACTGTTGAACTCAAAATGGAAATGTGCGTTCAAACCTCAGTCGGAGTTGATTTAACCCATCGTCCTTTGGGGTCAAACAAGCATTGCTTCGTTGAAGTTCAGCAGTAGGTGTCATTGATAAATTGGCACTGCTAGAGCAATGTAAAAGTTTCACCGCTGGTTCAGGATGGCCAATGGATATTAGAGCCAACGAAATGTTAACTACCTTGTCTGGTATACAAGAGGTGGTAGGTTAAATCCAGACCGTGACGCCTGTGTTTTTGGAGTTTGCATGTTCTCACCGTGGGCACGCAAATCTTTCTCCAGGTTCTCCAGTATTTCCCTCCACATTCATAATCAGCGTGCGTTTAGAGTATTTGGCTGCTACAAATTTCCATGTGATAAGCCACTTTGCTGAGCTATTATTTGTGGCCAGGTTGCTTCTGAAAAAGTTGCTAACAGCTCAGTGGTCTTCACTTGCTAAAATCAAAAGGTTTAGTTTTATTTGTATATATTTTTTTGTTATTTTCTTATATTTTGCACGCCTATCGTGTGTTTTTGTATCGTTTATTCTTATAAAGTTCTGACATGCCTCGACTGGACATCTGTGAAAAAAGCTTCATAGCTCATCAGATTCCTCCACTATAAATACAGATTCTGATTCAGTTACCTCCCAGCATATGCCAAAATTAGTCGGCTGGCCTATTGTAAATGGCTGTGGTAATATGTGTTTTTGGGAAAGCCCTGTTGAGGAACCTATCCATGGCAGACTGCATCACCACCGCTGGGTCGAACAAAAATTATTTTTTGTACGGCAACACTCGCAATGCCATCAGCAAATTCACCAAGAGGATGGATGTGAATGTGGTCCGGTAATCCTGAGTGATTGTGTCACGTCTATCCGTGAACTTTGGGACCTTAAGCTCCGGTACCAAGTCACCTATGGCGGTGGTTCTCAACTGGGGGTAACCGGACCCCTGAGGGGTTACTTGGCAATATCCCAGCGGGGTACGCGAGGTGATTTCTAAACGTGTGAAATTCGATTGTACACGAGAGTCGTTGGTGAATAATCAGGAATGAATCTGCCATAGCTACGATACAATTTAAATCTATATGGTAACCGCGAACGATATTAAATACCTTTCTAAACTCACCGATCGTAAACAATGTGGTTTCCAAGAGTAACCAGTAAGCGCTAACAAATGACGTCACACATGCAGAGTGCCCGTTGCATTTTTTTCATTCGCTTGCAGTAACAAGCTAGTTAGTAGGATACCTCACAAAATGGACAATTGGTTAAAATCTTGATGTGCATTATTCATACTTTTATTTCTCAGAACCATGTTGGATCAGGCAAGGGCTACTCGGTTGAAACAATTTCACAAGGGGTACCAGCCAAAACAGGTTGAGAACCACTTACCTACGGAGACCTCTGCAGGATTCCTGTGATCCCTATGGGCCACTCAAAGCGGACCCCACCTCTGCCAGGTCCTCACTCTTACAATTGCCCTGACACAAAATTCCCTTCGAATTGGGAGCCATGACCCCTTCTCAGCTGCTGCGGGTTTGGGTGGCCGGTGTGGGTACCTGAGACTCATCCAGCTGAGCGCCTTGCTACGGCAGTGCCCAAAAGCAATTGCAGGGTTGCCAATAGCATTTAATCGAGAAGAGGGAAGATTGTACCAGGCGGTGATGTAGGCAAGCAAATAGTCTAAACGCACGATTCGAAATGTGGAAGGAAAAACCGGAGGACCCGGAGAAAAATCCACGCGACCACGGGGAGAGAGAGACACGCAAACTCCAAATATGCAGCAGGCGTCGGGGTCGAGACCGAACTCAAGACCTCGTGCATACCAGGCGAGGTATTTACCATCTCGCCACCGTGGCGCCGATCCCAATCTATCCACAGACAACTAAATTCGTGTGCTTGAGTGAGAAGCTGAGATAAACAGCAGGCTTACCTTGATCGCAGCTTTCGACGGTGCCGTATTGCGCCAACAAACCATCCAGGACCTGGGAGAATAACAGCGGTCTTTACAAGCTGGCGTACCACACGGCACTTGAGGGCATAGCAAAAAACAAAACCTACCAGGACTCATTAATCAGTGGGTCTATTTATGAAGGGGTTGCGCAAGTCAAATGCATCTCATTATCTGCATTTATCTACAGATAAGGTTATGTTTAAATGGCAAGATGGGAAATGCTCTGAATGGAGAAGTTTTCTTATTTGGCAACACAATTGCTACACCTCCGATTAGCGCGGTTGGCTACGTTCGGTTAGGAAAAAGTTCAACACACATACATTCATCAATATAAGTAAGAGTTTCACTGTATTCCACTGCTATGCGTGAAGGTGAAAATGCGAAAACCGCTACACTGAATAAATTCCCAATTGCGTTTAAAATTATTTAATTATTCAGGACAAGAGAACGTCACAATATAAATAAATAAAACGTTATGAGTTTTTTCCACAATTCACTTGTAAATGAGACATGCCTGAGTCGTGCAGTATTTCATAAACTATCAGAAAATTACAAAACTATTCTAGGAAAATAATTGTAGATATGTGGAGATTTTTAGATTTAATCAAATGAGTAAAATTACTGTAATCTTGTTTCAGTGTCAAACTTAACACTGGTACATTCAGTATTAGGAAAAACGGACATTTTCACGTATTATGGAGTCAGCATTCTCATCAATGATGATATGTAAACCCAATCCACAGTTTATTGAGTAAAATCGGCTTCGGAATAAAAAAATACCGAGCAAACGAGTTATAATTTCACTTCCAGATTTGAAGTTTTCGTGACTGCAAGGATTCATACTCTTTGTTTTTTTCGGTAAAGTCACGTAGGTGAAACATTAAAATAAATTAACTCACAACGTTTCGGAAGCCTCTTCATACGCTACAGCAGGAGCAGTTACACCCGATGACGGAGGCTTGTGTTGCCTCCGAAACGTCGTGAGTTAATTTATTTGAATTTTTTACCTACGTGACTTTACCGAAAAAAACAAAGAGTATTATTTTACTTCATTTCATAAAAGTGAGCATTGCACATTCCCTGTCCCTAATCAATCCGTGAAAATTGCCATTATCCACTAAACAGATTCTTCGTTTTCCACGGATGCGAGTAGCCAAACACCGCATTGGTTGTGAGGTAGGCAAGTCTCCCCCCGGCCCCCCTCTCCAACCAACAACATATTAGCAAGCAGTGTTGAGTATATACAGAGTATAACGTATTCTAAAAGGCATATGAATGTACATTATTTATGAAATAAGTCTAAATATATCTTCACATACATTACGATGTACAATTAATGTAAAAATTCTCATTTAAGAAATGTTACATTCATTTAATTGCTCAAGCCGATTGGGTAAAGTGCGAATTCCAGTAATACATATTCTTAGGTTTTTTCGGTAAAGTCACGTAGGTAAAAACATTAAAATTAATAAAAGTAAAATAAAATAAACGTCGTGATTTTTATTTTATTTTACTTTTATTAATTTTAATATTTTTACCTACGTGACTTTACCGAAAAAACTTAAGAATATGAATCCTTGCAGTCACGAAAGCTTCAAATCTAGAATCCAGTAATACACTCAAAGCCACATTGTTATTTTACCAGGTAAGGCCCACCAAGCGACGGCATTCTATTTCAGAAGCCACATGGCCCCACGAATGATAGGCTCCAGGAAGTGGCTCGTCACGTGAGCATTTAAAGCAGCCAAACACACTTGTACCAAGTAGCCTGGGTTGGAATAGCGGCAAGTGGGGGGGCTTATAATGCTTGAGCATCGCTACACACCTGCACGCAGCACTAGCACGCTCCGCTATCTACTCCAAGGCTCTTTGAAGCAAACGGGTAACAATGTTTGGCTTTTAACGTGTTGACCTTGAATGTACTCGGGGCCGAGGGACTCACTCACCTCCCACTGCAGCTGAGGAGGGATATTCCTGACTTGTATTTTCCGGTTCCTGCCAACATAACATTCCACACCGGTGTGAGACGTTTGCTAAACTTGCAATTAACGGTTGTAAACACAACTGGCACAAACCAAATAAACAAACAAAAAAATGCGGCAAAACAGCAGTGAACAATGCAGACTGGGGGTCATAAGAATCCCTGTTCCATGAGATAGTTGAGGAGAAGAAAAAAAACATGATAAATTACAGCTTCATATCGTATATTACAGTTGTGCACAATTATAATTAGAAACATGCATTTAGATGATTTCGCTGCTATACATTTCCACATAAGCTACTTTTTTTAGCCATCATGTGTGTGACCAATAGCTCCGCGGGCTTTACCAGGTAAGATAAAACATGTTGTATTTGTATATATATTTTAAAATTATTTGTTTACCTTTCCTACACTTTGCACTGCTGTCGTCTTTTTATTTTGTTTGTTGTTGTAACGTTATGACCACTTGCCCCTACTGGACATCTGTGAAAAAGAGCTTCAAAGCTCTTCGGATTCCTCGAGAATGAACAAATGAATTTCGATTTAAAGCTTTCGTGACTGCAGGGATTCATCTTCTTGGTTCTGTCGGTAAAGTTGAGTAGAAGGGAAATAATAATAAAATAATAAAAATAAAACATAATAAAATACAATTCTCACTAAGTTTCGGCCACAACGCAAGCAGCCGTCCTCAGGTGAAGAACAGGTCTGTCGGAAAGACAGCGTCTGAATGAAGACAGCGTTATGAATGAAGAACAGGGCTGTCATTCAGACGCTGTCTTTCCGACAGACCTGTTCTTCACCTGAGGACGGCTGCTTGCGTTGTGGCCGAAACGTCGTGAGAATTGTATTTTATTATGTTTTATTTTTATTATTTTATTATTTCCCATCTACGTGACTTTACCGAAAGAACCAAGAAAATGAACAAATGTTCTCATTTTGATTTTACAACTTGCAGCATATAATTGACAAAGCACCAATACAAATGTAGCAATAACACACACGGGGAAGCCTCGCAGAGTCAAGACTTTTCAGGAAGGTCCTAGATAGAGATATTTGGCCACACTGCAGTATCCAGAGCAAACCCACCATGCAGAGACAAGGGGGGCGAGGAGTTCAACACGTAGCCTTTCGCGACCATTACTACCCATAACAAAGGTCTTTTGTGGAGGTTAGACGGAGTAAATATAAATGTATGGTTAAACCTGCCACCACCCAACACAGCTAATTAGTAAGGTTTGTCACGTGAACAACACATGCCAATTCGTGACTACGAGAGCACACCGGTGTGCTGGAGAGCAAACCCACAACATTCACAATTCGAGTACCACGTTTTGCCGACGATTACAACAACCACCTTCATCAGGCGATTAGCTTGAATTGGAGGGGAGGGGGCAAGACTCAACAGTGCCATCTACTGCTCGTCATCACGTAGCCCCATAACTACAACATTGCACAAAGCAACCCTGGGTCATCAACCATTAAAATTCTGAAAGAGCGCAACTCTGCTGAAGCTTATGAGATCTGACGCAATCGGGGTCGCATTCCAGATGTCTGATTGTAGGCAATAATGACACGAGGCAAGGTGAAAACTGGCTGGCTGTTTGGTGGTTTAGACAACTAAGCCAGCACCACTGGAATTCGAAACATGAACGCTTATACTGGTAGGAACCTCCTGGTTACACCAGCCCACAGGGGATTATTGTGTCCGTCGTGCAGGGAGGGCCTGGGTGGGGAGGGAGGGGCTGGGTGGGGAGGGGAGGGTGGGGAGGGGCTGGGTGGGGTGGGGCTAGGTGGGGGGTGGGAGGGGTGGGGCTGGGTGGGGAAGGGCTGGTCACCCCGTGGTGCCCTTATAAAACTCAACGTTTAACCTACTCACGCCGGCTTGTGCCCACCCTCACAGTCGGGCTTATTTGCGGAATATACCACGCCGCCGTTGACCTTGGCCATTGACCGAGCAACCCAACGTTCCTACCAGCTTCCTCCGCAGGAATGTGTTAGCCCAGTTGACTGAACTGAGATAATCGGGATAAGCCCAGTTTTGAGGGCTAATATGCAATATGGTATGTTGTATACATGTTATACGATTAATACAAAGTACACCACTGTCTTCACCACACAGAAGGCCATCGTCGTGGTTGCTATTAAAAGGAGCTCGTTTAGTGCAGACACAGAGATAGCTCTGTCTGGTGTCTTGTCCTGGGTCGTCCCATATGAGACACGGGGCTCTTGACGCCTCAGATTCTCCAGATAGGACTCTCGTTCACTTTGTTCCATGAAGGCACAAGCACAATTGTGATCACATTTGATAATGGAACGATTGGATACTAAAAGCGTAAACATGCAGTGCGCAGGATAGGAATTTTACATGTCTAAGAGTCAATTGGGAATCGAGTCTGCAAAGGCACAAACTTTCATAAGCGTTCGTTTTGCCAGGCTGAAAATCATGCATGCAGCATAATACAATACTTGTGATGCATTTTGATTTAAAGCTTTCGTGACTGCAGGGATTCATATTATTGGTTCTTTCGGTAAAGTCACGTAGAAGGGAAATAATAAAATAATATAAATGTAAAACAATAAATATTATCACGTTTCGACTGCAACACAAGCAATCGTCATCAGGTGTGAAATCCACAGCAAGAAAATTTATTTTTTAAACTTTTCTTTCTGTGGATTTCACACCTGATGGTGATTGCTTGTGTTGCAGTCGAAACGTGAGAATTTTTATTGTTTTATATTTATATTATTTTATTATTTCCCTTCTACGTGACTTTACTGAAAGAACCAAGAATATACTTGTGATGCATTTAACAATGTTACCGAGCAGACTTGTCCAATAACAGTGGTAAAGAACGAAGTGTAATTATTGTATTTTAAGTGTGTCCTCACATTACCTGATTCATAGTCACATTCATTCATAATTCTCATCCAGTCTCAATGAAACCTAACTATTCTTTTTCATGCATACGAATCGCTTTTGGGACACATTAGAAATACATAATTTGAGCCTCGTGCCATGCACGGTAATAAAAAGGAATCGGTTTGGATGGAAAAGGAAAACAATTCATCAATACTGTACGATTAACTGTGGTTCGACAAAATTTTAAATCGAAGTTTTGGGACGAAAAAAACTGCTTTTAGAGTGCAAACCTCTTCATAATGGCGTCACGGAGAATTCGGGGAACGTGTTACAACAAAAAAATACCACTTCCAGGTCACAGGTCACCTGTTTTTTACATTATTAATATTATTATTTTTCTCCTCCAAGTAACGAGGAACTGTACTGGCCACGTCCAATGGTGTGAAGGGGGTGGGGGGGGGAACTGGCTCAGTATTCTGCACTACAAGACAGCATTTTGTTTGATTTTTGCACTCACCATCGAAGCAACCAATATGCCTTTCAAATGCAAATGCATTAAGCCCTGCTTTGCTGCATTATGCATAGAGAGGTTGCATCAAATGCGCACACATGCCAGGGGCAGCCATTGGCTGCACGGGCACTGCATTAGAGCACATGGGGTTCAGCTCGCAGATGGGCGTGCTATTCAATGAGACACATTTTCTAGAATGCATACATCAGGGTCACGCCGTGTCGACCCGTTTTGGGAAAGGCTGTCGAACGAGCACAGGTTTCCTGTACGGTCCCGACCTCGTAAAACTGCAAGCGTGCGAGTTGCTAAAATGTGTTCTTCACGCAAGATGCAATTGTCATTGTTCGCAGAGCCGCAATAAAGGAATTTATTGATAATGTTTAAAAAAACGCAGTTATTTGCAACAATGCAGCTCTATAAATGTGAAATTTGAAATTGTTTCAGATTGGTACAAGTCAGTTTTGAGAGTTCTTGCAATTGCATCGCATTTTAAAAGCTCATCTTCACATCGTGGTTGGGAAAATAACATTTGGTCACAAAACCAATTTGTAAATTAAATAATATATATATACACATCGCAGTTGTAAAGAAGTTACATTGATGTAAATTAATGACATTACATTGGGGGATCTCTTTAAATCAATGTTTGGCTTGTGCCATTGCCCTTGTGAATTATGGTGTACAATTGGGCTAAAGTGCAGTAAAAAACCCCGCAGAGATGGACTACGGGCAATTATTCATTTTCAATCAGATTAGATGAGCCAAGGGTAATCAAAGTACCGTTTCAATTAACATCTATTTTAATGCCAAACTAAATATATCTGTCTCGAGATGTTTTTCTCTATTGTCTTCTTTTTATTGTTTAAGCTTGTTAAGAGTATCACTAAGTTCGAGACACTGCGAAAAGAAACCCTTGCGAGACTGCAAGTGAAGGTTAAGGGTTGTTGATTCCCACCTTTGGGATTTTATTATCACTATCATTGTGATGTGTGCTAACCCAGGGAAATCCTCACTGGGTTTCCAAAAGAGGAAAAACACTGCTGTGAGATGGAGATCATGACTAAAACGGACAGATTTATTCCGATATAGTCTGTGCTGGATGAAAGTAACATGTAAATAGCATTAGAATCTGTCACTCAACAGCAAAACATTTTTCTGAAACCGAGTGGCAGGTATTTTAGATTTTTGAAGCACAGTAAATAATGTTCGATCGGTCTTAATAAACAGCAAGTGCTTATATTAATAATAATTTCAATTAAGGAGATCATGATCATTTGAAATAAAGTCTAACACACATTGCTGTAATTATAACTGCCCAGTGAAATCAGTTTGTGCGCACCAGGCGAGGTGGTGATTACTAAAATCTAGGACGATCAGGAGACATCGCAAGGGATTGTGGGGGAGGCCTTCGTCCAGCAGTGGATCAAACATGGCTCACGATGATAATTATTTCCACGACTATTTAAAGGTGTGAATCACACATGCTCAGCATGGACGAGATAGCCTGAGAATGTCAACGTGAGCTGTAAAAATAAATTACATGAGCCAATGGGATATTATTGTGCCTTGACTAATATGCGATGTGCATTCGCCACTGTATACATCAAGCATCCGTGCTACGTAAACACCACTCAAGGCAAAAA